GAAAAACTGGACCGTCCATCTGGTCCCCAGTCGGATTGCAGAACGATTTCAGCTCTCAGACGGGGAGAACGAGAGAGATATTCTCAGATGTTTTCTCTCTGATTTTCATTCTTCGCCGGTTCGGGGAAAAACCGAGAAAAAATTATCGTGGACGATTTCGAGGGCTGAGCCGACGAGGGCACGATACTCCGACGAAAAAAAACTTCATGCCCAATACGGACGAGCCGATTCGAGAAGTGAGCTCTGGGGAACTGGCACTGTAATGACCAGCCAACGATGAATGATGAGAACGGGAGAAATACTTGAATTCTCGCGTGACCGGAGAGCTGCCACACCGCTTGTTGCCGTCGTCAGACGTGACGTAACTTCCAGCAGATCGTCGTTTCAATCAAGTTGTTTGTTTTCGCTTCGCCTTAACCCTGGCCGTAATGGGGAGCTCAGCGCTTAAAAACATAGTTCCTTGATCGAGTCTCTTTTAATATCTTGCCCGGATTGATTCCTGAGCTCTTCGCTGGCTCCGACGTCATCGGCTCGCGATCGGCGGAGAATTTCGTTTCCCGCTCCCGCTCTTTTTCCTCGTCGTTGACATCTTCAAGCGAAGTCGAGCAGGACACGGAACGAGTTCAAAACTGCCGAGAAAAAGTTTCTCGCTCCAGTCACGAATGATTGACAAGACATTGTTGTTCCCATCGATGACGCCCGAAAATAGGCAATTGAGCTACCGCATCGCGCGTGTTTTTACGCAGCTCGATTGGAAGAATCGAGATGATTTTTCTCCGGCCCCAGCCCAAAAGCACGCCAGTCTCGTGCTCTATGTCTGTGGGACCATGTTCTTGCTGAGAGGGCTTCTCTTGCGAAAGTCGGATCCGGAGACAATTCAGGATTCAGAACAAGATTTTCGTGTGACCACGACCCGCTGATCAGGATCCTGGGTCGGGGCAGTCTCCAAACGCGGGATCAGGTTGAACTTGAAGTCTCTCCGCAGATTTCCTCGTCGAAAAAAGCTTCATTTTGGTGACTCATGAGGGACCTTCTGGGTGATAAAGCAATTCCGACAGATTTTTACCTCGAGATTACAGCACTAAGTTCTTCAGAGCGAGGTTTTCTCATGATGCGTAATCATGGTTGCGAGCCCGTGCCAGACGGAAAAGCTTCCATCCCGTGCCGTCTGTCACAGACGAGCGCATAGAACACTGTGTGATGAGTGGGGTAATCAGGATTGTTCGATGCCCTTGTGCGTATAATCTGTCTGATGGGTAATTCAAGTGACGTTTAGCCATGGGAGGCGGCGATCGTAGCGGCGATGAATCTTGTGATGCTGTTACCGGCTGTTGACTCTTGTTTTGCTGGGTCGCCGATTGGTCGCCTTCCTCAATAACTGTGTGCCATCGATTGACACATCGCATCATATCGTCACGCTGTCAGCAGCCTTTCTCAATCTTTCCCTGGGCAGCTGTGAATCGTGTCCTGCCCACGCATTGGCCTGTATTAAATTACGGTCTATGACCGGCTCCACCTGCTGCTGTTGGAGCTACTATTGGCTTTCTATTGTTTTCTCGTCCCGAGCACAAGCCCGCGGAGGTTTTGCTGGTCTGTGCATTTGAGAAACCAAAGAGAAAGGTCCCGAATCAGCTATGCTGTTCAACGTGAATCTCCGACGCTAATCGGTCTGCTCATCGCACCTTAGGAACGTATGAGCCCACCGCGATCCGGCGACAGGGAACGAGCTCGGAGGCTGATCTAGATGATCCGCGGTCGAGTACGGGACATGACACCCATAAGAAATAATTGATGAAATCCGCTGAGCCCCACTTTTTCGTTTTCAGCGGCGATGGAAGTCCGGCTCGACATGGACGAACTCAGAGGATACTCGGCGACGCTGTCTCGGTCAGAAAGAATATTCTGGAAGTTTGTTTTTTGATAATCGGATCGCTTTTGGCTGCCGCCACCACGAAAGTCGACAAGGCCTCTGCAGTCTATTGTTATGATGGCGAGCGAAACCACAGGCAGAAGATGCAACGGCTAGAAATCACAAAGGAAAACGTTGGAGTATTGAGCCTGAAGTGGTCAGACGACTGTGGAGGAACTCGCTTAGGTTTCACTGCAAATGCATGGATTCAGGAAGAAAAACCGTTGGATCAGTGAAAGCGTTCAAGACGATTCTCATGGAACGGCGGCGACAAAGACACTCAGTCAGTCAGTCAGCCATCAAGGGAATGGAAGAGCATCCAAGCGAGCGAGCGAGACTCGGAAGCGAAAGCTTATGTCGATAGGGCGTCGTGCATTCCAAACATGGCTCAAGAAATGAGGGGTCCCTAATGACGAGGGCAAAGCGTCGGAACCGCAGAACAGGGAGACGGTACGAGTCGACGTCAGAAGGTCACCGTGGTCCCAGAGGTTCCGGGAGGATGTCGAAGGTTTACGTTTTCCTCGTCGTGTCTTAAGTCGTTGTGACGTGAATGCTGGGGAGGAAAAATTCCGAGAAAAATAGAATTTTCAATGGAGACAGTGGACAAAGGGCATTGAGCCGAAGATAAGCTCGTTTGCCCCATGCAAACTCCTTGTATTTGGGTGTCTTTCTTCTAATTCAATACATGGCAAAGGGTTGTCAGAAGTCCTGCAAGACCTTGCGGGAGGAAAGATCGCCGACCGGCACGTGACGTCAAGCGTGGGTGCGTGAGCCACGTCCGTAAACACCGGCACTAATTGAAAGCAATATGCCGAGCGGACGATGACGGAAGCGAGGCTCGTTTGCGTTCTTTCTTCTTGTCCGAGAGTCGTCTTGAAGTCCAAAATGTCGTCGCTCGTCAAATACTCGCCGCATTCATTCCTAAAATAATTCCTCAAGAACGGTCCGGCCTCATGGAATCATCTGAGACCCTCTAGAATCAGCCTCCCCGCAAACGTCATTTATCGAATGTCGAGCTCAGTCAGTCAGACATACGGAGCGAGTTCAACCGCATATTCTCTCGGTCTGCCCGTATCGATCCGCGACGTCACCGAGCGAACCGTAGACGAGTCATCAAGTGTGACCGATCCGGATACTACGACGCTCGTTGTAGTCTACGGATCGGTTCAGGCGACCGCCGTGCCGTCGCCGTCGAGGGCCAGAGTGTTTGTTTGGTTGTTCATTCGCTCGTTCGATGAGTGACCTTGAAATGCGGCCCGAGGCGCTGAGTTACTTCATGCTATATTCGGTGCAGTCGATTCCATGTAATCTATTTCATAAACGAGCGATCAATGGCACCCTTTTCAGGAATTAATAATTTAAGGCTATTTTTCTTGTGCATGAACGTTTCACCCATTCTTCGTACCCTCGCATTCGCTGAGCGGGACTTATCTTCGCTTGCGATGGAAGCCACGGAGGCATAGAGTCTGAACCATGAGACAATGAATTCATATGCTCTAGCTTCCGCGCGGACGCAACAAGCCCCGGAACCGCAACAAAGGAGGAACAGAACTGAATTCATCCCTTCGCCTATGGCACGCCTAATGGTAATGATACGAGGGTAGGTTTCAATTTCGAGAGCGCGGGTGTCGGAAGAAATTGATGATGGTAAGCAACAACACCGCGCTATCGTCCCGCTTTTAGTTCGCGTCTCTAAGAGCGCGAGAATTTCTCCTCGTGAGACGACGGACTGTACCAAGACTGCGCGAGCATGCGGTGCTGTCACATGGAGGAACGTTTCCGAGGGAGCGACTACACTAAAGAACGTGACTCCGTCACTGCCGTCCTTAGAATGATGGATGGCTTTCTCGCCCAGTCGGTAGAACTCTTCCTCCTACCCTCTAATCGCGAGCTTCGCGGAATCTGTTCGAAAGACCAGCACCCGCTTCCGATTCCGCGTCATTTTCGCCGAAAAAACATATTGTCCTCTTCACTATTCCCAGTGTCGGATACAGCGCGGCCACGTGAAATTCACGAGCGCTTCCATGCGGCTCCGGACAGATTCCTGGGCCGAATAATCCAAAATCGCGAGTAAAAATTCTAGGCCCCCGCGCGGTGGTCAGCCAGTGGGATTACCTTCGAAGATGCTGCAAGACTCTTTTGCTCAGATTGTGTCGATGGGGTATCCAAGGAGGTAGCACATAATAACACTGATCGCTTTTTTGAAGACACACGATCGGGTTGATAGAAAACCACAAACTCTGTCTTTTGAAGTTTCTCCGGAAATCACGTCATGATCTGCGCATCGGTAATCCCCTACCGTGCTTCATTCAGGTAGGGTCTTTTGGGACTGTCTTCGCGTCTTCGGGTGGATGGACTATCGCTATTCGCGCGGAGAAGTTGGGAAAGGAGTCATTGGAAAGGAGAGTGAGAGCCGCCATCACCACCAATGACCGCGCTTGAAAACGAGAAGAACGATATATCTAGGAGAAATTAGCTCTTATCTCTGATCCCAAGCCATGATAATTACCTTAAGCGAGATTCCTGCGGAGGAATGGTCTCTGTCCCGAACACCGGACACGAAAATGATTTCGCCTAGAAATCTGTCTTCATTCAGAAATTCTTTGGCCATTGTATCGGAGAGGGATTTGAAAGAGACCTCAAGAAATAGTCGGATAGAATCGATCAGCGGGTCGACGGGTTCAGAGCATCCTCATCGCGTGCCATGAGGCTCGCCGTGGCTTCAACTGATTCAGGCTCTACCGAGTCTGAAGCATCACACCCCATTTTCTGTACTTTCCTAAATTTTCGGGAACTCTGGAATGGTATAAGCTTGACCTGATGGCGAAAATTAAGCTCTTCCGTGTCGCGGTCGTCTCCGGATTTACATCGAGCGAGCCGGGGGTGCGTAAGCGACGCAAAACCTCCCGTGAAGATTCCGTTCTCTCACAGTGGATTCGACGTCGCGCTTCAGAAGCCCCTTTCCCGTCTCTGAGGTTAGCCGCGGCGGCGCTACATTCGAATCGTCTTGTTTACAAATACCGTGCGACCATGGATCGGGGGTTCATACTCCGAGAAACCTCATTGATATTAATTGGGTAGATTGCGATGATCTATTCGTCCGTCCTCCATACATGGCACAACACGTACCGCCCTTAGTGGCATCAACGGACCCGGAGGTGAGATGTCGAGACTTGCGTCAGCGGGCTTGCTAGAATCGCTACCTGACAAGAGAAGCGGGCAGCCGGCGGAACGACGGTCCGGGGACCTCGTACGGCGCGGAACTGATTCCGAGAGTGTCCGGTTCGGGAGGAACCGATTTCACCGTTTCGAAGCTCACATGAAGAGAGGAACCGATGATCTTCCAGATCCCGACATTCCACTGGGGCATCCCGTCGCAGGACGACAGCATCGGAAACCTGCTCCGAGATGAGGTCTGTCACGTCGATGGGCATGTTCCTCGTGTTGCTCAAGAGCCTCATCGAGAGAATTCCGACACTGACTCCCTTGTTTCGAACTGCAGGCGCGGACTTTGTTGCTGGAACGGAAAAATGACGAAATACCCGATGCTGAAGCCGTTGAGCAGATGTGGCGACTCCTCGAAGAGCACGCCGTTGACGAGAACCTCATGATCGACTACCGGGGATTCAAAAAGGTTTTACTAAGGACCATGAGCTCAGATAGGGTATCTCCACGGAGATACGCCTCTGTCGGAGAAGGCATCATCATCATCACTAAATGCTCGATCTCGTTCGAAGGTGCGACAGCTACTCGGGCCGAAGTACAAGGAATTCTTCAATGGCAGCGTTTTCTTCAAACTGCTCCAAGACCACCCTCTGGGCTACATGTCGATAAGAAACTTCTACAATTATGTGAATCGCCGACGTTGGCTCCTGCAGACCAGAGTTGGTCTGGCTCTCTACGACGCTAACGGTCAAGGTTACCTGAAAGAAACCGACCTGGAAAACTACATCAACGGCCTCATACCGACATTGAATCAGCTCAAAGGACTCGAGACCGCTTTCCATTCATTCTACTGCTGCACTGCGGTGCGCAAATTCATATTTTTCCTCGATCCCTATCGAACAGATAGGGTCAGGATCGACGAGATCATTCTATCCTCATTCCTCGACGATCTTCTGGAGCTTCGCGAAGACATGCCGAGAGCCGCTCTAGAAGCGAATTGGTTCAGCGCGATCTCCGCTAGGAAAGTGAGTACGGGTGATCGGGCTCGGATTCTTTCTCACCTCCAAGTCAGCTTCGAGTACTCAAATTTCTCGCCTTGAATTTCAACAGGTTTATAGCAGGTTCCTGGACTTGGACACCGATAAGAACGGCATGCTCTCACGCCAGGAGATGTATTGCTACGGTGAAGGAACATTCACGAAAGTCTTCATTGATCGGATCTTTCAAGAATGTATCACGTATCAGGTGAATAATGCTTTTCTGGACCGATACCCGTTGAGTTCCTATGCGAAGCTCCCGACTCGACGGTCAGGAGCACGTGACTCCTGGTAGATATGGAACCTCGAAGGAGGTTCTCAGGGACGGAGGTCCATGCCTGATTGTTATGAGTAATTACAGGGGGAAATGGATTACAAAACTTATTTGGACCTGATTTTGGCTCTCGAGAACCGAAGTCAGCCTGCGTCGATACACTTCTTCTTCAAGATATTCGATTTAGACCATAAGAACTATCTGGACAACACCTCCATGAGATTCTTTCTCAAGGCCATTCTGGAGATAGTGAACGACCCAGCTCTGAAAGTGAGTTCACGAGAGGAGCGAGATCCGAGACGATCGAGAATCTTTTTTTTTGTCATTTCTTCCGATTCGGATAGCGACTCGTTTTTCCATTCGATGACTTGTTATGACAAGTATACGCAATCAATTGTCATTTCCCATTCAAGGTAGAAGACATATTGGACGAAATTCATGACATCGTGAAGCCGGCAACTCCCGGTCGAATCACATTGAAGGACCTCCTGCGGTGCGGTCAGGGCGGCCTCGTTGTTTCGATGATGGCAGATGTCAATGGTTTCATGAAATATGACGACAGACAATTCGAGCAGGAGGAAGAGCGTCAGGAGGCGGACGCGCTGTCGGACCAACCGAACAGTATTTGATCGTATGAGGATGGATTACGATCAATCTTGTTTCGTTCGTTCCTGTGTGTCTATTCCGCCCGGCAGTGGTGGACGGAACGACCATCGACCGATGGCAATAAACGGAGATTTCTGAACTTTCCACCTAGGAATTCCATCATTCTGGAATTCGCCTCCAGCTGCTACTGCGGCCGAGAAGCGCGATCAGCTAGACCATGCTCTGCTTTTGTACAGGGAATTCTATTGACTCGAGTAATAATTTATACAAATTTATTCGTACTTAGATTATTTTCTACACTCACGAGAGACCCACCGAGATAGAGAACTCGCTCGTCTGCTACGATATTGGCAAAAAATATCCGATTTCGATCCCTCACTCGAAACCTATTCCTATGGAAACGTCGCGGAGCTCTTTTTTACAATCCCCTCCGCTCATTCTGACAAGACGCGAGAAACCTCCAGCGGGCGATGATCCCGTTGAAACAATCCGGAATCCACCCGACAATAACTGCACTCGCTGCGTACCGTCCACCACATGACGTCCCTGTGCACGCGCGCCAAGCCGGCGTGGAGCACGGTTCCGGCGATCGCCAAATATGTACAGCTTATGTACTCACAAGTATATAGAGATATATCTGTGATATTCATATATGTATGTGCTCGTGATCAGTAAAGAACTGCTGATCTGTGTCCCGGCCAATGGTCACGCCGTACGCTGGTATCCGTCATGCACTGCGAGCATTTGCAAGGTTGAGCGCGGATTCGTAGTTCCAACAATGGGTCGAGTGCCATAAGTGACCCTAATTCACCATCTATAGTCAACGAGAATTCGTCGCAGCTCCGAAGTCCACGATCTGTGTTCAATCGGAGACTTCATCTGGAGTTGTCCCGGAATGAAGTTGTGCCAGAAGCTCCTGCCTTCGGTTCTCCAACTCTATCTCGGACAGTGCTTCACTCGTTTCTCTAAGAGGGAGACTGAACGTGAATAATCACAGAAGAATGCCTCGTGATTGGAGAGTTATTGACGGAAAAATTTCAACTACCTACTCGTGGGAGACTAACTGTACCTGTGAGTGACTTCTCCCTCTTCTGGGGTTGCTTCTCGGTAATGTCGGTATTTCTCGGATGCCTTCTGACTCTCTTCTTCGATGGGCGAGAAACGTTTCGAAGGCGACGGACTTGCTTCCAGATATCGGCTGCAAACGTTAGGTCCAGAATCTAGACATGATCTCGATAACTCTCGCACTTTACCTACTCATGGGCCAAGGACACGATATGGAAACCACCCGCTCATTGGAAAAGTGTGTCCCGCGACAAACGATTCAGGGATCGGGTTCGTGGGAGTAAAAAAACAGAACATTGGTTAAAGAGTTAGGAAACAATACGCTTTTAATTCGGGAGGTAGAGAAATTATTGAATCCAGCATCGGCTCAGGCTCGGTCTTTGTACAAGCAGATGTTAGCATCAGTCCAAGTTTTCGGATCGAGTCAAGATCCGAGTCTCATTGACCAGTCTTATGTTTTTATCGGCGGTAGTCTTTACTGTCACACCTTTTCTTGGGCGAGGGACTTCTCGATGGGAACTTCTTCTTCTTCTTCCTTCGCCGACGCTGGGACGACTCTGAGCTTCCCGCCGAAGATACGCTCGATCGGGAGGAAGAGCGGCTGCTGCGGAATGGAAGGAGATCGTTAGACTTGTCACGGTTCCTCATTTGTCCGTTCCCTGCCCCCCGATGGGAATTCGGGGAGCTCGAGACGTAGATAATAACAATCGATTTCCAAAATGAGCCTACCTTCGTTTGTGTTTGGCTTTCTTGCTCTTTTTGCGGCCATGGTGATGGCTGCAAGCTTCTAATAGGGCGGTCGTGTATTCGGTGAAGACTCGGATACGATCGGCTTCGACCGGAAGTGCGTGGAAATCAGGATGATCCTCGATCAGAGGGCGAATATCTTTGAAAAGCGTATTGTACTCCACCGGCGGGTTGAGGTTTCGGATGATTGACCGGAACGCAGCCTCGGCTCGCTTGATCTTGCGTTGTTCCTCTTTCACTCGTTCTCTCTCTCGCGCGAGAGCCTTATCTTTGTGATGAGCATACGTCAACTTCACGTTTCCCGCGTCGAGCGTCGCACTCCGCTTGTCCTCCGAGATGACAGTCACAAACTGCTCGAAAACGGTGTCTACTTCGACCGTGAAGTTTTTCTCTCGCATTATCGCCTGAAATCCATGCGAAAACGAGTTCGTAAGATAAGGGGGAATTACGCAATGAAGGGATCAGAGTTCTCTACGTAACGCATCGATGAGGATCGGGGGTGGGCGCCTATTACCTTGATAATTTTTTTCTCATCATTGAGTCGTTCTTTGAGCTCAAGAACGAAGTATTTGAAGAGATCTAGAGGGGTTGAGCCGGCTTGACCGAGCATGTTATTGAATCGTGGATCGCTCCGAATGGTCGGGTAGAGCTCACTCCAGAGCGACATCGAGGTCAATTTGCCCTTCTCGTGGAGGTCCACGAGAAATGCTTGGAATGCTTCGCGGTTCTTACGCTGAGACCGCTTAATGATTCGCTTCTCCCGCTCCTTCTCTTGTTCGTGTTCTTTCTCGAGCTGCCTTATGTGTTCTTCGAATTTGGTCAGAGCGTCCTCTTTGTCCATGTTCAAAAGCTCACCGTCCTCTGAGAAGGTACGGTTATCGAGGAGCAGCGTCTGGGTCTCCTGCCACGTGGTTTTATACGAGACCTCGGTCATCGAATCGAGAATATCGCCCAGACTCTGCATGTTTTTCTTGCGCAATTCACGGTGCTGAATCTTATCACGTTTCGCGACAATTCTCAGGATGTCGTCGAAGAGGTCTTTGCGCTCACGGTCCGAAACCGCGTTCCACGTTGGATCGTTGATGAATATCTCGCAAGCTTTCTTGTAGCGCATGTTCGTGTAGACTTCCTTCGAGTTCAGGAGGAATTGCTCGAGGTCCTCTTTGGCTTTCCGGATTTTCATTCGTTGTTCCTCCTTCTCCTCCTTGGCTCTCTGTGTTTTGTATGAATTGAAGACTTGCTTCCGTTCTGGAAGTCGCTTCAGTTGCGTGTACCGAGGATCTACGGATATCAGTTTGACGGCGGTCTCCCACGATGCATTACTGGGCACGTTGCGCTCTTTCAAGAGACTCCTGAACGCCTCCGTCATCTCCTTCTTGTCCTTATACTCGACCTGCGGATTGGAGATTCAATGTCAGCCTATTTCCCAGAACCTGAGCGATTCGAGGAAGGATCATCATGAGACAGAATGGGCTGATCGATGCTCGTTGGCACTGAATCAGGACAGCTTTGAGGAACCTACCTGCGGCGCTTCCAGGTTCGACTGGGAATCTTCGTCGGGTGGGAAAGAGTTTCTGCTCGCTTCATCGCCTTGATCCCCGGCAGAGACCACGGGAGAGTTATTCGTCGGTGTTCCCGAAGCTGAATTCGGCTGTGGAAGAGCTCGGAATTAGGAGCGACGAAGGAATCGACCCAGTTTCCGCCGTAGAAGAAAACTCGGACAGAAACCCCACGATCCCGTCCTTGTTGATCGGGCAGAGAACTTACCAGATCGAGTCGAGCGGATAGCTTGTTTTTCTCCTTCTCCTCGATCAGCGCTCGGATTTCTTTTAGCTCATCGGGTATAGTCCATTTGCTCTCCTTCGTGGTCAGGTTGTAGTAGTAGAGCCGACCGGATTCGGATTTATACTCTCTCCAAGGGCATTTGGATAGGAGCAATTCCTCCGAAGTCTTCATCTCGTCGGGTTTCTCCCACGAGGACTCCTGGGTAACTACGAGCAAGGTCCATGGTTAGTTCAATGCGTTCCGTTCCTAAATGAATATCCCGCGGCACACAGGCTCGCCGGCTATGATCACTCGACGAAAAGTCAAATCAAGCTGCTCATCGAACGAGGCCTCCGAGCTTAAGGAGCTTACCCGAGTTGTGGTAGTATATTCGCCCCTCGGGCGATTTATGCTGAGTCCAATCACTATGTACATTGTTTTGGTGGTTGTTATCGGCCCTTGAGGGTAATTGCGTTCCGTCAATTGAATTGGAAGATGGTGAAAAGGTCGGAGCTTCCGGGAGAGGTATCTGGACCGGAGGAGGCTGCAAAAATTCAATTCAGGCCGTTATTCACTGGCAACCCAGCGTGGTTCTAGGAGGAAGTTCTGGAGTCGGTCAGGTTTTTCACTTTAGCGATACGCACCATAAGCTGTCAAATCGAAAAGGTAAATCAATTATTGCCTCGCTCAACAAGAGATAATCGTGGATTCTTCTTCGGAATGACTAACCCCAAGGAGAGAACACGAGAGGGAAAGCTAAACATCGGGCTCTCCGAATGTGCTTCGTAAGGGAATTGACAGCACTGTCTTTCCGGAGCCAGACAATGGTTCGAGTCCCACCTCGTCAAACGGTGGGAGACAATTTCGCATTCCTGGGGTATGGAATCGTATCAGATCATCATGTCGTCCGGATCCGAGATCTAAGACTGACTGAGAGAGGGGCTACCGAAAAAATCCCGTCTCGCAATGGGGCATTTCGCGGGGGTTCTGAAGCCAGATACTGGTCAAGATCTACGGCGCGGGTGTGGACATACGCCTGAGCTACGAGGCGGCAATGATAAAGATATTCTGCAGTCTCGTCAAGGTACTTCAATGACACGGGAGTTCCCCAAATGAGATATTGCAGAGTCTCACTGCTAGGAAAACCCCCCACGCCCGGAAGAATCTATGTGAATGTCATCGAGTAGACCCTTGTGCACCGAAAAACTCTAAGAGCAGCGGCTGCCATCCGAAATCGACGGCGAAGAGGCGGGACGCCGGATTCTCGCGATGCGGGCATTCTCGAATTCGAATTCCTCTTCGACCACTCCACGCGGGAGCCGATAAAATGCTTGCAAACGTTAGAGAGTACGGGGTCGATTGTCTGAGGAGCCGCTACTGCGAGGGTCTCCCATCTGATAGATCATTGCGGAATCGTTCGCGAGTGAGTCTCAGGAGTCTCCAGCTCGTAACGAGCCGGATCCTATCAGAACGAGCTCGACTCAATCCCTCCCATCAGATTCCAACAACCCTTCCTCAGGTGTTGCGCTCTCGGACACTTCGGGATTCTTCCACTCCGTTGAGCTCAATCGAGAACCCAATACTTCAGCTTAACCTGACGCGATAGAGAACCTGTACAGGCCGATGCTGCAAAATTACTAGGGCACTTGAAATATCCAATCCGAACATCTCATCCAGTCGAAATCGATGGAGCGGAGCGATTCCTTCGATACTGGACCCCACGTCTTTCGACCGGTGTCGGTCGGCGGTCAAATCACACCGCATCAACAAAGACGGTAATCCGAGGAACTCTTGGAGTCGTCGGCAGAAACGAGCCCGTACCGAAAACCAGTCGTTTTCGGGCCTTCATTCGTTCCATGGCGGCGTGACCGAGCTCTCAATCGCATTCGGATGAGTTTGTTGATGGATATTTACACGGCAGCCTGGCTGGTTGGTACGGAGGCTGGCGGACAATACTCACGGGAACTTGGGAGAACGTCTGATTGAAGGCCACAAACTGTGGGACTCCGGCTGAGAAGCTTGGCATCATGTTGGCGATGAGGTTGGGGTCCATCAGTAATTCCCACTTAGCAATAGATGCATGTCGAAGCAACGCCGGAGATACACAAAGCTCCGCACACAGAGCACACCGATTTCGAAAAATCTTTGTGTCCAAGAAGCCGACGACGACGCTCCGAAACCGAAACCTCTCACGGCGGATGGATGCATTCTCATGAACTTCGAGTGCGCCTACGACAACAGAGGCGGCCGGCCACGCTCTCACTCAGTCCACGGCCACCGGACTCCACTGCAGTGTGAGTCATATTCAGTCTCTCTTCTTTTGAGAGAGTCATTTCGAATAAATTTTCCGCCGACGGTATGCTACAGAAATCTATGAACATTTTGATGACGCGAGGAGCGCAGGTCCTCTCACCTTCTGCCCCTGCTCCTCCCTTCGGAGCCGGCATCAGGGGAGCCGCAATTGTTTCGGGTACTCAGGCCGTGTATTCTGCATAGCCTGCCTCGATCGGACCGAGAAAATATCAACAGCGCTCCTCGGGACTGCTACTGCATTAGGCTTGGCTGAAAGATATACGTCAACGATACAAGAAGGAGACGGGGCTCACAGCCGTAGGTCGCGGTCTGAATTATCAAGAGTCAAGGGTTCTATCAGGCGGTCCAGTCTGATGTCCCGATTAGGCGCCGCGCCGCGAGAGCAATCGTACACTGCAAGGTGAACTATTGGACAATTTTGTCGCTCGCTCCCCGTCTCGAGCACACACCTAACCATTGTCCGAAGCGGAATGGCGTCCGCCGCAGTTCAGCTGGCAACGAGAGCTCCCCAATCTTTACTTCCACGATGCACCACGTGGAAGAAGGTTCAGCTTCGGACTCGCGAAATTCCGAAACTCCGAATTCCGAAAAAAACGATTATCACCAAATGCAATCGGTGAGGTCAGACGGAATGGCTCCGAGCGAGCGTCCGGGTTATCCGGAAAGGGGCCGCCATCTACTCGCAGACATGCGGCTCTGGAATCGCGCTGGTAAGAGACTCTCGGGCAGCCGGGCGAACACAGGACCCGGGAAGGCTGCCTGGCTTATATCCCCACCGTTAAATCCGCATCAAGCTCCCGAATCCCTCCTGCCGACACACGATGAGAAAAATTATCCCGCTCACAACACTCTGGCACGGGGAATGAGCACGCCGGTAGCCATCATCGTTCATACAATCCGAGGGATTTATTCAATTTCAGATCATCCCCGGAGACGAATTACCCTTCTGAAAATATATTCGAATCGAGCTCCTTCAAGTGCCTGTTTGATTTGTCAACGCTTCCTTCGATCTATCTAGAAGCTCAAACACTGCACTTTCGCGTGATCATCTTATGCTAGAGGTCTCTAATCCCGGCGGATGGAAATGTAGTTTCCTTGTCTCTGGTCCTGTTTTCAGTCCGGACATGAGCGAAATCCTCTACGCTGCCCCGTGTTCTGATTCTCGATTCTCTCGAATTTCAGTGCTAGGTTTCTCTTGCATCACCTTGCATATGCGTGTTCCGCGTGAGACTGACCAATTATAATTGATCAGCACCTTATTATGTATTCGGTGCTCACCTGTTCTCAATGAGTTCAATCGCGAAAGTTCATCAATAATGGAACCGGTTGTACGTCAATAGCAATATACGGAATGTTTGGCTTTACAACTATGCTTCCATTTGGTGATTTGTAGAAGTTTCAACAATGGTAACAATTATAGAAATCTAAGCGTGACTTCGCCCTCTCCTTCGACACCGAGAACCACGTCAACATACACTCACACACCAACCAAGCGTTCTCAAGGATCCGGCTGGTTGTCGTCATCTGCGTTGCGATCGGCGTTCCCCAACTGCTGCATGAAATGAGTCAGCGCCATTTGAAGGGACTCTGCCAGTAGACGCGAGAGTCGCTCCGTTTCTCTCTGCTGCCGTTGAAGCTCTCGGGCTCTGTGGAGGAATGGCTCACCATCAAAATCTTGCTCTGGATGGTGATCCTCATCCGAAGGGATTGCTCTGATGGGGAGCGTCAACATCACTCACCGATAAGCTCGAGCTGCTTCTTCAGAAAGCTCAGCTCGAGGAGCGACCAATCTCTGTATGAGGGATTCTATGTTGATGAGCCGGTTTTCCAGAGCCGGATTCTCGCGCGTCGTCACGTCTATCGATCTCCGGAGCGCAGCTAGCTCGTCCAAGATCCGCGCAGCCTCTTCCGACCGCATGCGATCAGTTTCGTGCACGTGTATCCTCAAAGCCTGGACCTGCTCTTCGAGCTCGTGGAAGCGCGCGTTGATCGGATCTGGGCTCGGAGCGGAATTTTTCTCTCAATGCCCGGAAACTGACTTGAGATGCTGGCTTTCGCTAATAAGATTGATTATGAGGGGGATTCTCACCTTGATAGCTCTGCGGATCGATGCCGTTATCCGCGCCACCAGCAGCGGCGGCCTGCGCCATCTGTGCTAGAGAACCAGGGGATCCGCTGGCGTTCGGGGCTCGACGCTGCCGAAAACGTGCTCCCCCGCAGCTCGGCGAAGCTACAGGGACTCGTTCCCGCGGAAGTCCCGATGCGTCGAGTGCCATATCCGGTAAACTCCGCTGCGGGAAAGTCAAAGTTGCAGAGCGCTTCGTGCAGATTCTTCGCAGAAAAATTCTCCCACACACACCCACCTGCTGAGCCTGACTCGCGTCTAGGGCCATGTCCGGCAGTCTTTGGTTTCCGCTCTGGATCACGAGGTCGAAGTCTGGCGGAGGTGGATCTCGACCCGCAGCTCCAGGTAAACTGACATCCGGAGGGTTCGAAGTTCCGGCTCTCTGCATGAGGCCTGCCGCCTCGAGTCCGCCGCCATTTTGTTGAGGCTCCTGCACTCTCAAGAGATCGGGGAACGCTGCCCACTCGGGAGGATTGTTCTGGTTCTGATTATTCTCCCGGTGCTCCTGCTCATTGTTGTTATCCGCTTCTTCAGCCGCCTCATTGTTGTTGCTCATGTCTCACTCCACCTTTACACTGATCGGGTCGATCAGCCGCTGAATGCCGATGGAAGAAATCGCGAAGGGAGGAGCTCCTAGCTGAAACACCAGAAAATACATATTAGGCACATTGACGTTGAGGGATCAAAACGATTCGAAAACTGGCCTGCGCGAGGATTCGGACACCTGTTTCCCTGTCGACCGCTCATGAGCGCGCGCCGGGAAACTCCCAGCGATGACGAGACACCGAATTCGATGCATACCGATGTAGAGGCATAAATATCTGACAGCTATCATCAACTGGCCGAGCATCAGAGATCGGAGCCTTCGTGAATCTTTACAGGTACGCGAGGCCTTGCTCAACCGCTACCTCGGCTCCAAGAGCGCAGTCTTCGCGCTCGGAGTCAAGGTCTATCCGATTCCTGCCTTGTCTCGCCATAGGAAGGTCGCGGACGATAGGCTAGATAGGAGAGCCCAAAACATCTCTTCTCGGGATTTTGGGGAGGACCCTGATATCGAAATTATCCCGATCGGAGGGTCAGAACAGCTGCGTGATCACCCGCCCCTGGGCTTTTAACTTAGACGCTCCGAACATGCTCCAGAATGTGAGGACAGATTGAAAGGATTCTTCATGAGGAAGAAATATGGGACGGCATCGCGGGGTTCCCGGAATCTTCGAACGAAGCCGCTCCCAGAGGGCCGTTCAGAGATGATACTTATCGCGAACTTCAGGAGCATCATGGATTGAAAAACATCAATACTTGTACGCCACAGACAATGTGGACTGCTCAGGTGGAGATATCCCTCTAATCCGACGCTACAAGGCGGTCAAATTCGTGATTTCCTATCGCCTGACACTCGGGGGAACTCACCTAAGAATAATTATCATTTTGACAATCACTGGAGCCACTTTCACGACTGTTTACTTTCGCTTAGAGTAAAAGTCGGAGGCGATCCCAAATCGACGGAACGTCAGTTTCTCCAATCCCTTTCCGGCGTGGAGGCTCTGGTTCTGATGTCGTACACCCAGATTGCCTCTCACGAGGAATCTCGGCGGAATGTCTTCTCGCTCTCTTTCGCAGAGATCGTTCATGCTGCTCGTGTCGTTGCGGAGTGGGCAATTATCGCACCGTTCTGCCCTGACTGTCGAAAAGAATGTACGCTCCTCGGGATCTGATATAGCCCGCGATGAATGGCTCGCGCTCAAGGACACATTGCTTACCACGACTAGGTTCTCAGAGGTTGCTCTGACCGACCAGCTTTATCAAGATTGCTCGCAGTAGCATATCAGAGTACTCGAGGGAAAACTTCGCGGATAGTGCATGGGTTTTCTTTCCCGACTATCGCTCTGAGGGGGATCTGGCAATGACAAACCGATCTTAATCCTCTCGTCATGCATCGAGAATATCGCTTTATGGTCAGCGAGCCGCTGAAGCTCGGAGCGTAGAACTCATACCACGAAAATTCATTCGCGGTTAGGACCAGTCGAAATATGAATGCATGAGATGCATGCTCCCATGAGGACTCAATTATCTCTCTGTGATTCCTGTGACAAACTGCGCCTTGGAGCTTAATGGTATCTCGAAACCGCAGGGATCGTGGATTATGACTACGACTTTTCCCAGAACTAGCCGTTTCTGGAATTGACGCAAAATCGTATTCCAATGTCGGACATATGCATCGCGACCACCCTGAAGACATCCCTTCACCATGCAGTCGAAGCATTCCATCTCCAACGGACATCGGGGAGGGGGGGAGAATAGGGAAGCAAAAATCGCAATATGTTTACCATCAACCAGGAATGGGCAAAAAGACAGCAGTTACGCGAGAAAAGGCGTTTTTTCAGTTTATGCGAGCGTTGAGCTTGAAACTTCATCTCATCGCACCCTTCGTGGAGTGCGTTCATCGTCACCGATTGGTGGATCTCCACAATTGAGATACATTTGCTGAGACGTGCATACATTGGTTTCGCAATGCGTCGCGTGAAGAATTACCGTCGGAAATGTAAGCGACCGCGAAACAGAGAGCCGAGATTCCGACCGGAGGAGTTCTCGCTCGAATGCAGCAACACTGTGCCTGTTGCCCAGGGCTTGCCCTGTGCGAACGTAAACGAATGCATCCATCCGTGCAAGCGAATCAGTAGGGGCAACACGCAATGGGGCCTTCATGAAGCCTCCTGACAATGGATTTCGGGGCGGTAGGGCATCGAAATTCATAAGGCGCAGCTCGATTTTCCGGCCGAATCTCGAGCATGTCGGTCTGCGAGGAGCATTGGACCGGGGCCTGAGCAGCAGGACGGCGCGATACATTTTGATTCGGCACCGAGACGAGCGCGATGAGCACGCTCTACATCCGGGAGCAATGGGGAGCTCAGCCAACATTCCTTCTCGGAGCTCCCGAAGATTCCGCCCGTCCAATATACCGAGGCTTCCAAGAGCACAAGAATCCAATCGCGCCTGCGAGACTCAACAACTCTTGTTTTCCTCTGACGGCCGAATTCGAAAGCCTCGACTCAACGAGTTCTGGCTGGAACCGTGAATTGGACAATACCGAGAAGAATCTTATCATGATCTCGGTGAATAAAAGCCGAAGCTTGAGCCGATAGCGAATTCCTCACCGAAGTTCCGAGCTTTCGAAACTTGGCGGTAAAGGTCTCCCTCACGGACCCTTACCATGGGCCCTTTCCGTGCGGAGCGGTAGCGCCGTCTAGTGATGTCCCCGAGCAACCTGGCCTCCGTCTCTGCAGCAGCACTTCTCCTCCGAAGGGTCCCGCACAGTTGTCTAGATCTGCTCCAACACCTGCATCGTTCAATATCCGTCAGTCGATCTCTGTGTGTTTGGGAGAGATCCTCAGAGTTTGTTCTTTGTTGCATACGTCTGAAATAGCGGACATTGAGCGTCCCCGGATCGAGTGAGAGTTCTACAGAGGGACGGACACTGTTGGCAGGAGCTGGAGAAGACACCGGGAGTATTCTGTATGTGTGGCCAGTGCTTCGAATAGAGTCCTCATCGGCTTGTTGTGCGTGCAGCTTCAGGGATCTGTGCTCGTTACATTCAAGTGCAAGACTGACTCGGCAGATTTGGAATCGTACTCGATGGGACTACACTGATTGATGTCTGCACCAGGTAAGTCCCAGCAGGGGTGATGAACAACCGCGCGCTCCTCCGACAGCTTTCCCTCTCCAGAAGCTGCGCGTGTTCATTTCGATCGCAGTGTTGACTTTTGCTGTTCCTCTCGGCTCAAGTCGAACTAGCAATCTATTAAAAACGTCCGGATGAGCGCGCGGATGCCTTCGAATCGCCGGCCATTTCCACGATGGCCCTCAATTCGACGATCGAGCCATCCGGTAAAAATCGAGCGGCTACGATACTCACGATGTAGGTCGTTCGAGTTTGGCAGCTCGTTCTCCGCGTCGACCAGAGCGAAACAAGTGGTTCCGAAGCGCCTAATGGCCGTAGAGCAACAACTTCATGAATCGGGCGCGATTCAATATGCAACGATATCAGATCATCAGCGCCCACGTCGTACGTACGTGGGAGAAAAAGTGCTCGGGGGTACGTCACCGTACGACGGTATCCGAGACAGATCCGTCGGCACATACAGAAGCTCCTTGATGACGTCGAGGTATTGAAAGCCGCGAAAGCCGTCGCTGTCGGCGACTCAATATGATGCCGTTCATTGTGTTCGAGTCTGCGTTCGAGACCGTCATCGGCTCCTTCGAGCCGCCACAGGCGCATCGTCTGATCGCCATCCAATATTAGACATGTCAGAGGAATCTCGGAATAAAAAGAAAACGCTACGTCAACTCCGTCTCTCGGAGCATCACGGTGCGCTCTGGCTGTTAGCGTGTCAACTCGCTGAAGGAGAACCCATGGTTATGCAAGCAAGCCCGGACCCGAGTCCGGACGCTTCAATCAAATGTTCCTTCTTCCCCACCGCATATGTGACTTCAACTCGGAGGGGCTTCTGACTGCACGAGCAATACCGATCATGAAACAGGATCTGTGGGTTTCATCGATGCTGGACTTCCGCCTAATTGATTGCGGAGGTAATCACTATTGAATAATTAATCGAAGCTGAGATCGATCATTATGCGGACCGCCGATCTACGCCCATGCACGAATTCACTTTCGTTTTTCGTTCCGGAACGAAACGGAGTTCGTCGACGATTCTGATCCGTTGCTGCTCCCACACCGGGAAACAAGAACGCTCCTGGATCGACGCACGCAGTCATTGTTTATCCATCTCCTATCGGTCAATGTGAACTGACGAGCCACGATTTAGCTCAGCAATCGTTCGAACTCGTGGCTTTCCGGTGCCGGCTTTTTTTGTCAAGACAACTCGAAGATCAATCGATCGATCGAGCCGGACGGAACGAAGGAGCAGGAGCACGCTCCGGAATCACCACAGGAATTCTCTGCTCGTCACGAAGAATGCGGTGACGATTGAATACTGCCATCATGCCGCTAATCACGAAATGTCCTGTCAGAGATCGCAGCCGACATGGAGGGCGAGTCCGTCAAAAAGCGAAAGCGAGTTTGCGCGGGGGCTTGGTATCACGCCGACTTAAGTCTGTGTACATCAACGAGCTACGGTATTCACGTAGCTTCGCTTGCTCACCTAACTTCCGTGCTGGCACGAAGCGCGCAGCCCCGTTGTCGGTCATGAATTAAACACAGAATGCACATTGCAGTCCAACGGCGAGTAGTATTTCCAGCGAGTCGCTGCTTATTACCGTCAGCGGCGGAACAGCAACTTCGCCCCGGGTGGCTGACAGAGAACAGGCGAACTTGAGCTCCATAAGAGTCGCGGCTGCCAGACATCCGTGGAAAAGCCTAGGCTCATGTTGAGCACCGCGGCAACGCAGAGCGGGTAATATCAACGAGGGAGCTACGCGGCGCTCATTTTCCAGACCGGCCGAGCGACATGAGCACCAACTGCGACTTCGGCCGTAGCGTGACTTTGAGGCACATAAAGCTTGCAAAAACGACGACGGCAACTACAACAAAGGACGAAG